TATCTAACATTTATTAGAAGCAAACATGTCAACATCTTACGAGTCGGACGGTTCCTCTTCCGACGGAGCAACCAGTCCTATCTCAAACCATCCCTTCTCCTTCGCGGAGAATAGAGTGTCAATTAACGGTCCTCTTCAACAAGCACGAGAAGAAAATGACTAGCTCAGGAGAGAGCTACGTCGAACGCAACACGAGCTCAACAACACGAGGTATAAGTTAGCCCGGGTTGAAGAAACGCAGGACTTGCTGGAGGGACTGCTGAAGGAGGAGAAGGAGGAATGACTTCGTCTGGAGGACATGGTGGATCAGTTACTGGCCCGTCTACGCCGTAATAATAATAATAATTTTTAAAATCCCATTTACTATTAGCTTATGGTTGTTGTTTTGTTTAAGCTACTAAAAAAAACTTTTTGTAATGGGATGGATGGATGGAGCCCCTGTTTCCTACTTTAATGAATCAATTATTATTATTTTTGTTGTTACTGCTTACTTACTTTCTCAATATCCTACAGTCTTCTTTCTCTTACACGCTCATTCTCGTTCGTGATAATTTTCGTGATTTTCGTTGTACTTCTAAAATTTATTTATCCTTATTGTCATCACGGTCGCTTACTTATTACTATTTCTTCCACATTATTATATATCCACTTATATGCTGTTAATCGTTCACGATGACGTCTCATTTTCGTTCAAGCTCATTCTCGTTCAAGCTTATTCACGATCTCTTTCGTTATCTGTTTTGCACTCTCGCTGCTATTTTCCACTGCACCCGTTTATTCTCAATAGACTGAAATCGAATAAGTATAAAAAAAATAAATAGATGTAGCCTTTAATTTAAAGAACATCAACCAACAATTGAAAGAATTAAATTTCACGTCTTTTCATCTCTCTTGCTCTCGTTCATGCACGCTCTCGATTAAGCTCATGCACGCTCTCGATCTCGATCACGATCAACCTCATTCACGCTCTCGCTGTACACTCTCGATCAAGCTCATGCACGCTCTCGATCTCGTTCAGATCTCGCTTTCGCTCATGAACGCTTTTGATCTCCCTCTCGCTAATGAACGATCTCGATCTATAACATACTTCAAGTAGCTATCCATATCCATTTAACGCGCTAACGATCTCCTTCTTCTTGCCTTCACGCCCTGTCCGTCAGCTTCTCTCCCTCCACGTCTAAAAATCAACAACCCAGTAAACAAACAAATAAATAACTTATATGCGAACAAGCCCAACGAAACATTTCAAAACAAAGACCGATGGATAATGAAGTTTGAGCATCGACAGTCAGTGGCCTGTAGATGACAGAAGCAAAACAACCCTAATAGTGAGAGAGAAATGGAAGACCGATAGATGCTGGAGTTCAAGCATCGAGAGTTGCCTGTAGATGAGAGAAGCAAAACAAGGGGAAAAAATGAGAGAGAAATGGAGTGTTTTCAAGTAAGGGAGGAGGGAAAATAAAAATTTGGTGTATTAGGCCCAAGTAAGGAAGGAGGGAAAACTAAAATTTGGTACCCAAAGTAAGGAGGGGCATTTGAGGTCATTTGACAAAGTAAGTGATGTTAGCAAATGATTAGAAAACTTGTGTTTTGAAAAGGGCGATTAAAAAACTTAAAAGGCCCCTGCAGGAGGCTTATTTTGTCAATTTTCCCTAAATATAATGGGTGTTGTGCGATGAGGATTGTTTTGTCAATCCTGCTGGAATGAGTTTGTTACAACTTACAAGTAGTTCTTGTGGATTTTTAATATAAAAATCAAATTGTAATTTTGTGTAAAATTTTAAAATTGCAGCTGTATTTAAAAGTATATTTTCATTTTGATATTTGTGTAATTTTATTATAAATTTGAGTATAAGTATTTTAACTACTTTAAAATAGTAAATTTATTCTGAACTTTAACTTACTATTTTATAGATATTTCATTTTCTTGTAAATATAAATGATTTTAGTATTTTTTTTTACTATAATAATTATAGTATTTGATGATAAAGTCCCCTGCCACTACACCTATACTAAAAAAAATACTATACGTTCAATTTTTTTAAAATTAAAAATAATATATATGACAAAAATAAAATTAAAATAGCACCTGCAGACACGTGTTAAAATGTATATCAATATATTTACTTTTACCATGTAGCATAATTTTTCAAAAATATTATTATCATAATAATCATAGACTTTAAGGTAGTTCGTAAGATATTAAATCCAGTACCATGGTTTGCATGTATATTTTTTTTAACCAAAGGTATGGATTTAGATTTTTGGCTTTCTTCCAAAATCTTGACCAACGGACCAAATTGTCTAATTAGATCGGATATTATATTACTAAATATTATCTGTCCAATAAAATAATAATTAAGAATGCAAATTCTAAATTAGTTTATTTTTCTGATACGATAGTCTAATAGTAGAAATTTAATGAACCAAGTTTCTAAACACATTTTTATAAGGTCCCTTCTAGGATCTTGCACAGTGGAATCGACGGTGATTGAATTCAATTGACGATTTGCCATTTTTCTTTTCTGTTTTTGCTTCAGCAATGGCACTGAATTTCGACTGAAGCCAGAGGTTCGTCTTCGATTCCAAAAGATTTCATCCATCCCTTTCGACCGCCAAAAAGATTTCAGCCTCAATTTCATTTCATACTGTATGATCGGATCTCCGTTGGAAACTTTAGCTTCGGTGTACAGATGGATACTTTTACTGCAGCTGATTAGCTCCAGTCATGTCGGCGACCCCCAACTCGGTTTCCTTTAGGGTTCCGTACAAGAACCTCCAGGATGCAGAAGTGGAAATGGTGGCTGTGGATGAACACCAGCTCCAACGGATCGACCTAAATTCTCCTCCTTCTGATAGGTATCACAGTGGAAGCCCAGAGAGTTCGTCGTC